CACTGCTAGACTTCAAGATACTGTAAGCTCATTCTGCGTAAATCGAACCAAAAATTAATATTAAAAAACTGAAGGTAGCCGGGCTAACTATGACAGCAGGACGTCAAACAACTCAGTCCCCCGTGACCACGGGTGCTGGAAAGCACCCGAAACGTCGGGAATATAAAAATAAGTTAAAAATAAGTTAATATACGCGATAAAATCCGTAAAATTAGTTTTATTTAAAAATGTGTAGTGTTCGCGTAAATATAAGAAATCATTATTTATAATGATGTTATAATCATAGTAATACATTTAGAAAAATATTCTAAAGCTATTATTAAAAATGTGCTTCACAGCTAAAGTTTTACATATTAGCAATAAAATTAAGACTTGTACTATTAAATTAAAAATATGTAGAGTATAATTAATAGTGAAACCGAAAGGTCAAACTACATAACTCGGATTTTCAATTGAATATTAAAAGTAACTTGATTCAATCAGATGAAAAAGTTTTTGATTAATCAGGAAGCTACAGAACTATAGTTTCAAGAACAGCGCTTAAATTAATTATTTCATACTTAAGTATAGAACGCAGAAAGTTATCAACGGTAAAAGCTTTTCCGGGCCATATGTACTAATGGGTATTCCTCAGGGCTCAATTTTCGGCCCACTCTTATTTCTAGTTTATATTAATGACTCGCACTCCCTTAGTGAGAATAATCATGATATAATATTATTTGCGGATGATAATTCTTTGATATTTAAACTCAAAACGTCCATCATTTAAATGTGACGAAGTAATTAACGCTTTATAAAAATTAATGCATTGGGGCTTAACATTTTTTTTTTATAGGAGAGGGGGCAAACGAGCATGCGGCTCACCTGATGGTAAGTGACTACCGCCGCCCATGAACAACTGCAACACCAGGAGAATCGCAGATGCGTTGCCGACCTTTTAAAAAGGAGTACGCTCTTTTCTTGAAGGTCCCTAAGTCGTATCGGTCCGGAAAAATCGCTGATGGTAATCGATTCCACAAGGAGGTCGTGCGAGGAAGAAAACATCTTATAAATCGCACAGTGGTGGACCGCCAATCATCCAGATGGTGTGGATGGTATCGGGAGTTCTGCCGCGATGTGCGTTCGTGAAATTTGGCGGCTGGGATTAATCCGAACAATTCCTCAGAGCACTCCCCATGGTAGATGCGAAAGAAAATGCAAAGGGATGCAACATCTCTTCGCAGTGCCAATGAATCGAGCCGATCGGAAAGGGCTCGGTCGTCGACAATTCGAGCCGCTCTGCGTTGGATGCGGTCAAGTGGAAGGAGCTGGCACTGGGGAGCCCCTGCCCAGAGATGGGAACAGTATTCCATGTGAGGCCGAACTTGCGCCTTGTAAAGTAGCAGGCGGTGTGCCGGCATGAAATACTGTCCCGCTCTGCTGAGTACGCCAAGCTTTATAGAGGCCAATTTGGCCTTCCCTGCCAAGTGACCACGAAACTGCACTTCACTCGATATGTCGACTCCGAGGATACTGATACTGGCTGAGGCAAGAAGGGGAGTGCCTTGAAACTGAGGAGATACGACAAAGGGGTTCTTTTTAGCGGTAAACGGGCAAACTTGTGTCTTCTGAGGATTAAATTGGACTAGATTTAGTCGCCCCCAATCCGAGACTTTGTTCAGCAAAGACTCGACTTCAGACACAAGTTTGTTCCGGTACTCAGCGATGTTTTCCCGAGAAATATTGGCACGGCCGGTGTATAGAGCATCACCAGTGCTGTCATCCGCATAGCAATGAATGTTACCAGTTAGCAACATATCTATGATATGCAGAAGAAACAGCGTTGGTGATAGCACACAGTCTTGTGGAACACCAGCGTTAATAGGCTTGTAGTCAGAGCATGCACCGTCTACAACGACCTTGATGCTCCGATCTGCAAGGAAGCTGGTGATCCAATTGCACAATTTCTCGGGAAGCCCATAGGAAGGGAGCTTCGAAAGAAGCGCTTTGTGCCAAACCCGATCGAAGGCCTTCGCAATGTCCAGACTAACGGCCAACGCCTCCCCCTTGGACTCTACTGCCTCTGCCCATCTATGGGTCAGGTAGACCAGAAGATCACCAGCTGATCGACCCCGACGAAAACCGTATTGGCGGTCACTAATCAGCTGGTGATCCTCAAGGTACCGGATGAGCTGGCAGTTAATAATGGATTCCATTATTTTGGCGAACAAGGAGGTGATCGCGATAGGCCTATAGTTGGATGGGTCTGAGCGGTCGCCTTTTTTAGGGATCGGGTGGACAAAAGCAGTCTTCCATGAATTCGGGACTACGCCTTGGGAGTAGGAGTACCGGAAAAGACGCGTTAGGACCGGTGCCAACTCCGGAGCACACGTCCTCAGCACAATTGGGGGGATTCCGTCAGGCCCATGCGACTTCTGGATGTCCAGGGAGAGCAGTGCTTTGCGAACCGAGCGCTGTGAGAACAGCACATCCGGCATGGAGCACTCACACCGCGGGATGGTCGGCGGTGTTTTCCCCCCGTCATCAAGAGTCGAGTTGGACGCAAAAAGGGAGCCTAAAAGGTCAGCTTTGTCTTTTGCGTCATGGGCCAGTAAGTCATCCTCCCTGTGCAGAGATGGTAGTGATGGCTTACAGAAATTCCCTTGGACAGCCTTGGCGAGAGACCAGAATGCACGGGTTCCCGAAGGAAGGCGAACTAGTTTCTCGCCAATTCTGCCTATGTGCTCTGACTTTGCCTTGGCAATAACTCTTTTGAAGGACCTGGAGGCGAAGTTATACTTCTTTTTAAGTGTGCTGGTATTTACATCCCGAGTCGCCGAAGCCGCAGCCCAGGCTTGATAACACTCCTGCTTACTGCGTAATGCAGTCTTACAGGAGCGACCAAACCAAGGCTGAGATCTGCCTCCGATGGGTACCACAGATGATGGAATAAATAGTTCCATTCCCTGTAGCACCACATCAGTGACAGAGTCAGCAACAGCGCTGGGATCATCCGGCGAGAAGCAAACCCGCCCCCATGGGTAGGATGCAAAGAAGGACCGCATTCCGTCCCAATCCGCCGACCTGTAATGCCAAACACGGCGGCAACCTGCAGAACGCAACCGCGAAGGGAGCGTGAGTGGCACCACACTCCGGATCAGACAATGGTCCGAAGAGCCGAGAGGGGCATCGACGGAAACCTGATATCCGTCCGGATGAGAGGTCAGCAGAAGGTCCAACAGGGAAGGTGTATGATCCTCCACATCTGGAATCCGCGTAGGCGAAGTAACCAGTTGTGTCAGACCATATGCCAAGGCAAAGTTATAAACAGATCTCCCCGCATGATCGGTTAGACGTGAACCGAGCCATTCGGCATGGTGGGCGTTAAAATCGCCAAGGATCACGATCTCTGCGGATGGGACCTGTTGTAGCAAAGAATCTGTAGCCATTTGGACGTGGTCAATGAGTCGGTCTGTTTCGGCATTACCGCTATGGGACCTATAGAGGCACCCGTAGACGCGCGGATGGTTGTCGCTGTCTACGCGTAGCCATAGGATGGACAGGTCCGAACCTTCAAGACTGCCGAGGCGTTGAGAACAGATGTTCTCTCTGACATACACGCAAACTCCAGCCCGAGGCACAAAGGAGTGCGCCAATTTGTACCCCGGGTAGGAGAGATACGAAATATCAGCCGGAGAGGAAACCTGCGTCTCGGTCAGAAAGAGCAAGGCCGACTTTGCCGTCTCGAGATGGTAGTGGACGGCGTTTAGGTTAGAGTGAAGTCCCCTGATGTTGCAGAAATTCACGGATAGCGTGGCAGGGGTCGCCTTGGTATTGTTGCTTAGTTTGCCCCGAGCAGTTATGTTTTTGAGCGGAATTTTGCTCCCCCCAGAATACGCGGGGCAGCCTGAGCACCCACGCTCAGGATCGAAATAACATGGTCGTGGATGCTCAGCGAGGGATTCTCCAGGGGTGCTGGTACCCTCCTGGGGTAGTTCTTCGTATAATTCTGCTACCATGTTGATGGGGGGGGGGGGGGAATTGGGCCTCCGGCCACCTGCACTCACCAGACGAAACGCAGAAGCAAAGCTTCTATTTCACGCCGGTTTTCAGTGAGGTCGTGGTACCAACCCGGCTCGAGCCGGCCCATACATGCAACAGCAAAAACTGCTGCGTGGCTCTACCACCGTACAAATAATCTACAGCACTCAGAATATAACTGTATGTAAAAAAATACCGAATATTAAAGATGTGAACAGCAAAGTGTTTCAAAGTGTTTATAAATAGAGCAGAAGTGAGGCGTGTGGTTGCAGTCGGTGTGGGAGCTACATACTGACCGCAGACGGTGCGCTGTGCGTGCAGCGCGTAGGTGTCGCGGTCGCAGGCGGCCGGGGCGCCGGCGCGCGCCGCCTGCAGCGACACGAGCGCCTGCACGCGCGTCACGCCCGGGCAGCGCTCGTCGCACCGTGTGCTTGCGCTTGCGGTCGGTGTGGGAGCTACATACTGACCGCAGACGGTGCGCTGTGCGTGCAGCGCGTAGGTGTCGCGGTCGCAGGCGGCCGGGGCGCCGGCGCGCGCCGCCTGCAGCGACACGAGCGCCTGCACGCGCGTCACGCCCGGGCAGCGCTCGTCGCACCGTGTGCTTGCGCTTGCGGTCGGTGTGGGAGCTACATACTGACCGCAGACGGTGCGCTGTGCGTGCAGCGCGTAGGTGTCGCGGTCGCAGGCGGCCGGGGCGCCGGCGCGCGCCGCCTGCAGCGACACGAGCGCCTGCACGCGCGTCACGCCCGGGCAGCGCTCGTCGCACCGTGTGCTTGCGCTTGCGGTCGGTGTGGGAGCTACATACTGACCGCAGACGGTGCGCTGTGCGTGCAGCGCGTAGGTGTCGCGGTCGCAGGCGGCCGGGGCGCCGGCGCGCGCCGCCTGCAGCGACACGAGCGCCTGCACGCGCGTCACGCCCGGGCAGCGCTCGTCGCACCGTGTGCTTGCGCTTGCGGTCGGTGTGGGAGCTACATACTGACCGCAGACGGTGCGCTGTGCGTGCAGCGCGTAGGTGTCGCGGTCGCAGGCGGCCGGGGCGCCGGCGCGCGCCGCCTGCAGCGACACGAGCGCCTGCACGCGCGTCACGCCCGGGCAGCGCTCGTCGCTGGAGCACGCCTCCAGCCGCGCCGCGGGGAACAGCGCCAGCGGGCCCGACCCCGGCGCGTAGTCCACGCGCTCCGCCACGCCTGCACACGCCGCCACCACACCATCCTTATCATCGTCATCATCCGGTACCGTGACCGTTACAGCCTATTAAAGTCCTCTCCTGAACAACTAGGCCTCACCCACAGATTGCCTCATAAGTGTATATTGGCTATAGTTTAGCAGGGAATTGACGCTCGCAGCAGCAAACATGAATTCCATTGACGCTGCTTCCCGACACAAGTCTGGGTATTTTACGTCTGATATAAACGAGATTGTTACACCGCCATCTTTCATCAGCCATAATTTCGGAATGATGGATAGCGGTATACGATCTGGTTTACACTGAACATCAATATCTACACCGGTTATGGGCAATAGTGTTAAAGATGCAAAATTTCTAGTACTCATTAATCTGCCAGCCGAGCGTGATTAAGGCAAATTCTTACTCCTACGGGAAAAGCCCATGTTCAGTGGTGAAATTTTACGAACTAATAATGATGAAGAAGATATCTCAATAATTAAATCTTATATACATTTCTGTGCAATTTGTATGTTTGTGACTTTAATACCATCAAAAAAAAAAATGTAACTATAACGCACTTTTTATCGCTTTATTTATCAATTTAAAAAAAAATTAATGACTCCATGTAAGGGTTTCCGAAAGGTCACGTTTTGATCTCATACTATTGACCTATTACGGTGATGTCAATATTTTACTTTAGTTAAACACAATATTTTAAAATATTTTTTAAGGTTTATAAAGTCTTGCTAAGCAAAGGCTCTCCTATGTTAGAAAGATAGATCAGTCGTAATAATTACAGTAAATTGGCTATTATGCATATCCATCGACGTTAAAAATCTTTCTTATATGTGTACAGCAGTAAGTATATTATACCTTTCCATCCCGCACGACAGGGTTTGTTGACTTTGATGGTGACCATCACAGGAGCAGACTGCATCATACCACAGTCATATGCAACAACTGACAAGATGTGATTGTGTGATTTATCATAATCCAGGGGTTCGGTATTGCGGATTACACCTGAAAAAGCAACAAGTCTCATGAGTCTCTTTGGGCTACAAATATAGATAAGCTAAAGCTGCCTCAACCACTTACCTTCGTTATCGATAGTGAACGGTTGGTTTCTGTCAGTGACGATCTCATACTTGCACACGTCGCCATAGTGCGGTGTGCAGTCGCGGTCGGTGGCTTCCACTCGCACGATCTCGTCGTAAATTTTGCCTTCGTCAACTGACCGCACGTACGCGGCCTGGCTGAACACCGGGGCGAATTCGTTCACGTCCGTCACCGTGATGTGAACCGGGACCCTGAAATAGAAAGTAAGTAGTAATAATAAAATGGTGAAAGAAAAAGTAACAATTAAAAATAGATTTTTATTCTGGAGTTGCTTCCTCCGCGTTTCATATTTAGAAGTTTAGACAGGATATTAGTTTTAAGACTGCAACCATGGTCACTGCATATATTTTTATGTAATATAGTACAGTTTCATGGATCCTTTACTGTTTTTGTTGTTGTATAAGACTCATTAGCAGTCTATACTCACGTGTTGGAGTAGGAGCCATCGCAGCCGACGGCGGCGATGTCGAATTTGTAGTTCCGCCTTTTCTCGCAGTTAAGAGGGTAGCGCACTCGTAAACGCGCTTCGTTCTCATCGATAACCATGATCTGCGGACAAATTATTATAAAATTATTATTTATTTTATATTAACAGTGGTAGAGCCACGCGGCAGCTTTTGCTGTCGCACGGATGGGCCGGTTCGAACCGGGGTGGTACCACGACCTCACAGAAAACCAGCGTGAAGTAGAGATTTACCTCTGCGTGTCGCTTGGTTAGTGCAGGTGGCCGGAGCCCTTTTTACTGGAAATGAGGCATTCCATCTTAGTTCTCACGGGTGACAACGCATCTACATTTTGATTTGTAATAGAGGATAGATGTAGATGTCTATTGGCCGCAGCAACCACTTACCATCAGGTGGACTGTGTGCTCGTTTTTCACCCTTATTCTATAAAAAAAAAAATTATTGGATGTGGGTGGCAACTGACCACACAGTCCACCTGATGATAGGATGCTGTGGCCCATATACATCTATCTATCCTCTATTAACCCTTGAGAACTAAGATGGAATGCCTCGTTTCCAGTAAAAGATAATCAGTGTAGACCACAAATGTCATTTTAGTGGTGTAGTGGCAGTCAAAGAGAATCCGTCACCCTATTTCGTCTCGAGGGTGTCGTAAGAATCGACAATTGGAAATGCCAGAGAAATTTTATAACTTCCGGTGGTTGAGGGTAAACCATCTCGTTTACTTTACACTAAAATATCCAGACCGGCGCGGCGACAGGCATCAACGTCAAAGCGCGCAATACTTAAATTCAACAACAAGAAAGGTCTGCTATTATTTACTGGCATTTCGGGTTTTAGCTTTTGTGTTCTGAAATACTTCGTAATTTGAGCAGACTTCGATAAAGGGAGGAGGTTCTCGATTCGACTATACGTTATTTTTATGTATATAAGTTACACGATATTTTCGGACTCTACTATGACTACTATTAGAGAATACTGTCAGAGGCAGTTTAAAAGTGGCCCCAGTCACGGAAAAGTTGAGAAGGGGTTGGCTAGAGTGGTTCGGGCATATGCGAAGAGAAGTAGACCATGTGACAAGAAGAATGTTGGCTGTGAAAGTGGATGGATATAGGATTAAAGGGAGGCCTAAGAAATTATGAATGGATGACTTCCTAATAAGGAATGATGTGCGTAAGAAAGAAGTGAGAGAAGAGCATAAAAAAAAACACTCACGTCTTTCACCCAGAGGGGTAGGCAGGGAATACGGACGCTACTACAAATAAATGCTCGTCGGTTAAAGGTACCCTTAATCCGGCTCATCTTCAATATATCGCTAACTTGGTCGATAATCTTTCCTCTATGGTGTCCCTTGCCGATGGGTGGTTCCATATTAATTAAAGAAATAAGTATAAAGAAGGTTTTTATTGTAAATATTTAGAAGTCATTCCAGTTGTTACCTTGAGCGTGTGATGACGCTTAAGTCCACTCAAGAGTAAAAAAAATAACTTTTAATAAAAATTAAAACTTTAAGTAAAGCTTAATTTTTTACAACTTAATTTTGTACAACTTTTAGATGGACTTTCAAATTAAATTATCAGTCTGTTTTTTTCTAATAAGTCAATATAAACTTTAAAAGTGAGTTATAGCGAGCAACTCTAGGTAACAGACTGAGTCGGACAGTCAACGCTGTATTACGTGAATAAAACGATTCTGGAGAACTTCCGAGACTTGATCCTGTTGGTGTTCGCTAAACAATTGCTATAATTTTCATAAAGAAGATTCATTCCTATTGTAAATAGTATGTTTATATATAGTAAGTACGTGGGCCTAACTGAAAGTTTTTAAAACTGAATTTAAAACACTTGTAGACGATATACTTAATAAAAAAATAAGTTCAAATTTTGAAAATAGAACTCTTTGCCAATATTATCGTGTATGTATTTTATTAATTTGTCATTTGTTTACGATTTGGCGGCAAATTGAAAATTGTCTGTGTCACGTCAGTATGAATTTAACGCGAGAATATTTTCGTACAATGATTTTTTATGACTTTGGATGTCATTTAAGTCAACCACTGTTTACAACAGGTTTAATAAGTTATAACGTGGTCGCACTAATCTCACCGATGATCTGCGTGAGGGACGGCCTTCTACGGCGACGACTGAAGATAACATCAGTGTTGTGCAGCGTATGGTAGAGACTGACAAATAGTGACTACGATCAGCAGATTCGGACAAGCTTAGGCATCGGTATGAGTCAAGTGCACAAAATCCTCCATAAATATTTAGTAGTCAGGAAGCTTTGTGCCCGGTGGATACCTCATAACTTGACAAAGGCCCCAAAACTCCGTCGTGTTGATGGTGTCGTGAAATGGTTCAAATATTTAACGGAGATGACTCAAATGCTGTGTTCGACATACTTATGAGTGACGAAAGCTGGATTTATTATTATGATCCTGAAACTAAGAGGCAGTCTGCTGTCTGGGTGTTTCCTTCCGAGGAGTTGCCAACTAAAGTGAAGAGAGGTCTAAAGCGTGGGAAAAAAGATGGCGGCCTCGTTCTTCGGAAGGACAGATCATTACGCAACAATTATAGGTGGTAGAGCCATGCTGCAGCTATATTAGTGGTATAGTTGTAGCACGAATGGGTCGGCTCGACCGGGGAAGGACCACGCTCTCACAAAAAACCGGTACTGTAAAATAGCAGCTTAACGCTGCTGTGTTTCGTATGGTGAGTATAGAGAACCGGAGACCCTTTTTACTGGCAAAGAGGCATTCCATCTTAGTCCTCACGGGTGACAACGCATCTGCATCTTGAGTCTTTATTGAGGATAGACAAAAATGTCTATGGGTCGCAGTGGCCACTTACCATCAGGTGGACTGTGTGCTTGTTTGTCACCCTATCCTATAAAAAAAATTGTTTTAGAAGATCGAAAAACAGTTACTGCAGGGTGGAACACTAACAATTGTTTGCCACTTGTCTTGGAAAAAGTTCGGGATAAATGACATCGCAGTAGGATCCTCCTTCACCACGACAACGCTTCGTCGCACACCGCCAAACAAACAATCGACTACTTGGCGACGTCATACGTAGAATTACTGGGTCACCCGCCCTATAGCCCCGACCTATTTATTTATTTCCGAAAATAAAAGAAAAACTTAGAGGAAAACGTTTTGGACGCCGAGGAAGCAGTGGCTGCGTTTCAAAATGCCGTCGCAGAGACTCCTAAGGACGAGTCGGCAAAGTGCTTTTCTCAGTGATTTCATCGGATGCAGCGATGCATTGATATACATGGACACTATTTTGAAAAGATATAATAAACCTAATAACTTGCTAGTTTGTTTAGTTTTTAGATTTTCTAAGAACTTTCAGTGTCACCCTCGTATGTAATAATAACTATATAATAAATAGTTTTAAGTATGTATAAGTTTGTCTTTTTGGGGATCCTTCATTAGTTCGACACTTATAAATGTAAATAAAGGGTATTCCTGTCAAAACTACATACAGTTAAAAAGCATCGTCTTGTTCACTCAGATCTGCAAGACAATAGCGACAGCAAACGCATGTAAACGTAATGGGGTCGCGCCGCTTCAATCTGTTCCTCTGAACAAAACTAACAAGACGAGAGCTGGAATAAGTAAACGAGGATATGTAGATACGATTTAAATGTTGTAGACACATGTAAACATAATTAGTTTACATTTTAGTTTAAAATCTTTTAATAAATAAAATAAAATATATATATAGATTGAAATCCATAAAAGTTTATATATAGATTGAAATCTCTTTTATTCTATTTTCAAAATTGAAAAATGTAAATAAATAAAACAAAATACGGCAGCAAAATTGTTAGTTATTCGTTACATCAAGCAAAATTAAAATTGTTTTACTGATGTTTATTAATGAAAAGCGATTACATTTATTTTCTTTTTTAATTTTACGTGCCGTGTGAGCTTTAAAAGTCACGTCGTCATTTGAGTCGAGATGAAATGTTACGAGCCGTGGGCATGTTAGAAAATGGTGCTATTCAACGCGTTGCTGAGGCCCTACACACCAGCAAAAACGTGATATCAAGGTTGTGGTCACGTTATCGCAGTTATCGCAGCGTCTATCCGTACACGGATATATATCGCGTTACGCAGAGATAGGATCGACTTCTCCAAATGACCGCCAGAAGACAACCCAATATCACAGTGATGCAACTACTACCAATGCTCCAGAATGACCACCAGCTGCTGGTAAGCGACCAAACCGTGTAAAAGTGGTAGCATGAAGTTGGTCTTCAAGCTCGAAGACCGCTACGTGTTCCAGCATTGAGACGTGGCAATCGCGGTCGGCGGCTTTAGTGGGCTCTGGAGTGTGCGCCATGGAGTGACGAACAATGCTCTTTGATGCTGATCACCGATGAGTCCCGGATTGGAGTTCATCCAGATTCAAGAAGAACACGCGTTTGGAGATCTCCAGGGCGAGTTTGCCGCCTACGGCACCCTCAGGAGGTCCACTCATACCAAGGCGGGAAAAGGTGTGCGCAGGAATTCGTCTTGGCGGACGAACCCAATTCGTTTGGATCCAAGGCAGCATGACTGCACAAAATACCACGAGGAGGTATTAGAGCATGTTATTGTCCTACACAGAATCCAAATGAGCCAGGAATTCTACTCATACACGATAATACTCCTTTCAATACAGCGCGGTTGGTGTCGGCCGCTCTCCGAGACCACGATATTCAAGTTTTCGATTGGCCTGCACAGGCACCCGACTTAAATCCTACCGAACATGTCTGGGACATGTTACAACGAAAAGCTTTGAGAGATTTCCCGCCAAATTTGACAACGGAACAACAACTTTACGAACACTTGCAAAGAACATGGGACATCATACCGCAACAAGACGTTGAAAATTTAATTTTAAGTATGAACAATCGATGTCGATATTTACTTAATGTAAGAGGTGGCAACACTTAAAATTAATAATTAGATTTTATAAAAAAAATTTTTAATTAAAATTAAAAGTTTTTTTAAGAAGTAATGAAGTTTTTTATGCTACTAATTTTCTACGGCGATTAAAAAAAATTAACATTAATACCTTAAAATAACCTATCATA